TGTTGTTGGAATGCTTGCAGATCCCAAAGAGGTATATTTTGCTACTCTTTGTCCTCTCTTGTTAGGTAGTGGATTAGAGGATTTCTGCATCATTTTAATTATGAATTGACCAGGCACGAGCTGGTATTAAGGAGGTTCATTTCCTTCCTTTCAACCCTGTAGACAAGAGAACTGCTCTTACTTACATTGATTCTAATGGAAACTGGCATCGGGCTAGCAAAGGTGCCCCCGAGCAGGTATCCGTGATTTTCCCTATGCTGGTATATGCAGTTAGAAAATTGCAAGGAAGTAACACCTATCCGTGTGTTTTCCTTGTCCTGTAACAGATATTGGACCTTTGCAACTCCAAGGGAGATGTTCGGAAAAAGGTTCATGCAGTAATTGACAAGTTTGCTGAATGTGGACTTCAATCATTAGCAGTGGCAATACAGGTTTGCTACTCTTCACATTGTTAACATCACTTCATTAAGTAAATTGAGCTAATGATGTTTCTGTTTTCTTTCTCTTCTTTTTTTTATTTTTATTTTTATTTTTCAACTTCTCAATTTTTGCAGGAAATACCTGAGAAGACAAAAGATAGTTCAGGGGAACTATGGCAGCTTCTTGGTTTGTTGCCTCTATTTGATCCTCCAAGGCATGACAGTGCTGAAACCATTAGAATGGCTCAAGTCCTTGGCGTGGATGTTAAGATGATTACTGGTGAGACTAAATATTTTACTTAGTTCTAGTTCAAAAAGTTTATTTATTCTAAATTGATTATTACCTCGCTCCTTACGTTATACACAACTTGTTTTATTATTTAGGTGATCAGCTTGCCATAGCCAAAGAAACTGGGAGGAGGCTTGGAATGGGAACGAACATGTACCCTTCTTCCTCCTTGCTTTTTGAAGATAAGGATCCTTCAATTGCTGCTGCTTTCCCTATAAATGAGTTCATTGAGATGGTAGATGGATTTGCTGGAGTATTACCAGGTGGTTTAATATATTTGTAAATTTTCTACCAAAACATATACCTTTTTTTTCATTCTAATTAAAGAAACCACTGATGACTTAATAACATCAAGTTTCCATAAAAAGTAATGATATCACTTGATTTTTGTCAAACTCACTGTTGCCATCCAGCATAATAGTTCTTGATTTTTATCGCTTGTATGCATTTTAAAATTTTTTGACTATTGGCCATCCACCTTTCAAGTTACTACCCTGATTCCTCTTTCTAACAATTTGTTTCTGCCTATATGCTAGAACACAAATATGAAATTGTTAAGAGGCTGCAAGAGAGGAAACATATCTGTGGTATGACCGGAGATGGTGATGCTCCTGCTTTGAAGAAGGCTGATATTGGAATTGCTGTTGCCAATGCTTCAGATGCTGCTAGAAGCGCATCAGATATTGTCCTCACTGAACCAGGGCTTAGTGTCATTATAAGTGCGGTTCTAACAAGCAGGGCTATTTACCAAAGGATGAAGAACTACACAGTTAGTTATATTCTAGTTTACCTTTGTTGGCATTCTCTTGTTTATGGTTTCATGGAGCGAATTGATAATATGTAGTAACCACATATATTTCCTCTTAAATTTGCAGACCTATGCTGTTGCTGCTACCATCCATATTGTGGTTAGTATATCTGAAGTTGTCTTTGACAACTTTATGCCACTGCTAAAGGTGTTCTATTTTTACTGAAAAATATGGATCTTAATACAGTTGTTTGTTTTTATATTGGCAGTTTAGTTTCCTGATTATTGCCTTGGTGTGGAAGTTTGACTTTGCTCCTTTTATGGTCTTAATTATTGCCATCCTAAATAACGGTAGACATTCTTTATTAAATCTCAGTGTAAATAATATGCTTCCGTCTCTAGTCTCATTTGGTACAAGCCAGGTTTGACTGACCCTGAATGGTCATGAATCTAATGTCCTGCATCACTATGTCTGTAGGGACAATCATGACAATATCAAGAGACAGAGTGAAGCCATCTCCACAGCCTGACAACTGGAATCTGAGAGAGATTTTCACTACTGGGATTGTGCTCGGAGGATACTTAGCATACATGACTCTAGTATTTTTCTGGGCTATAAGATACACCAACTTCTTCTCTGTAAGTATACTTTTGCAATCTTCTCTTCATATTTTGGTAACATTTCTCATGGTTTTTCTCAACTTTTCCAATATTACAGGACAAGTTTGATGTAATTCCTCTGCGCCACTTGTATAGTCCTGATGGCATTGATCAGTCAATGATGATGGCAGCTTTATACCTTCAAGTGAGTATTGTGAGCCAGGCCCTCATTTTCGTGACACGATCCCAGAGCTGGTCCTATGTTGAACGCCCCGGACTTCTGTTAGTCATTGCTTTTATACTCACTCAGCTGGTAAGACTCCATATCCATAGCCCTTCCAGTTTTTTGGAACTTTTGTTTGGGTATGAGGTTTCTGCAACTTCTCCATCCCCTTTTCTTGTTATTCTTTTCTGAGGCTGATGTGAGATTCCCGTTCTGAAATTTTCTTGGTAAAATCCTCCAATATCCAATTTGTTATGCTTTTGTTTTTATTTCTTGTCTCTCTTTTCTTCTTTATTAACACATAAAATACTGAAATGCTATTGTCAACAATTCTCCACTTGTCAGGTAGCAACACTGATTGCAGTCTATGCAAATTGGGATTTTGCTAAAATGAAAGGTATTGGCTGGAGATGGGCTGGAGTGATCTGGCTTTATAGTGTTGTGACTTATATCCCTCTCGATATTCTCAAGTTTGCCATTCAGTATCTCCTTGGTCGTAGTGTGAGGGATACACTCTTACGGGACAAGGTATATTATTCTCTATGATACTTAACACGAAGAGCTATTTTGGTTTTACTATATATTGTCAACTTCACATAACATTTTTACTGAGATTTCAGTTTCTCTGTTTCTGTTATGCGCTGTTGTCTTCTAATTTCATATCTGCTATTCTAACTTCCATTACAGACCGCCTTCAATACAAAAAACCTTTTCAGTGACAAGAACAGTTATAGGGAACTCTCAGAGATTGCAGAGGAGGCTAAAGACCGGGCTGAGGTTATCAGGTAAGTGAACTATGTTACAGAGAAAAATTACCACAATGTGTATTGAAACCAAAGAAGAAAAACTCATGAATGTAGCATTTTTGTTTCTAATGGAATCTTTAGGAATCTGATTCGAGAATGAGAATATCTTTTCTTATAACTTTAACTGGAAGATCTTTCCTTTTTATCTCTCAAGGAATATATGTGGTTACTTACAAAGGGTGATTCTTGCAGGCCTAGGGAGCTTGCACTCACGGGGCATGTTGAATCAGTTGTTATGCTGAAGAGACTTGACATTGATACAGCAGCCTTTGATGCATCCACAATGGAGAATTTTCTGCAAGAGTGGGACAAGGAGAAGCCGGTGAGATACACTGCTGAGCAGCTGGATGGCTTTACAAGATATTACTCAAAAAGGTTGGGGTCGGGAGGATATGGGGATGTTTATGAAGGGCAGTTTCCAAATGGAGTCAAGATTGCAGTGAAGTTGCTCAAGGAAAAATATGAGGGAGCAGCAAAAAGGCAGTTCATGGCAGAGATAGGCACAATTGGAAGAACATACCACATTAATTTGGTTAGACTTTATGGTTTTTGCTATGATGGAAATATAAGCGCGCTTGTATATGAATTCATGGAAAATGGATCGCTTGATAATTACTTGTTTGGGAAGAAGGAGATGATTGAGTGGGAAATATTACATGTAATAGCGGTGGGGATAGCCAAAGGAATTGCTTATTTGCATCAAGACTGTCAACAGAGAATTATTCACTATGATATAAAGCCAGCCAATATTCTACTTGATGTGAACTTCCTCCCTAAAGTTTCAGATTTTGGGCTTGCAAAGCTTTGCAACAGGGACAGTACTCATGATTCAGTTACCGGATTCAAGGGAACCCTTGGTTACTCTGCCCCAGAGTTTTTTCTGAGAAATCATCCCATAACTTACAAATGTGATGTGTATAGTTTTGGAATGTTGTTATTTGAGATAGTTGGGATGAGGAAAAACAAGGTTAGTAGTTCCTCTGAAAGCTTAGAATGGTTTCCGAAGGTTGTGTTGGATAAGTACCAGAAGGGTGAATTGGTTGAACTAATAAAAAGTTATGGGATTAAAAAGGAGGATATGGAAAAGGCAGAGAGAATGTCATTAGTGGCATTGTGGTGTGTTCAAGACTCGCCAGGAGCTAGGCCACCAATGAGTGCCGTGGTGAAGATGCTGGAAGGAGGAGTGGAGATCATGCCACCTCCTAAACCTACTCATTTACTGTTCTCATCGTTAGGGACAAATGCAGTCAAGCCACCAAATGCTGCCACTGGTTCGAGTTCCTCCTCAAGTGAAGAATCCGCTTCTTATTGGTATAAAGAGACCACTTCAAGCATGGCTAAGTATGAAATACAAGTGGTCAGTAGTTAACAAGACTAAAATCCAGTTCCCAGAAAGTGTATGTTTTGTCTTGATTTTTGTTATTATAAAATTTCTCGTCTTCTGTTTAGCTAACAGAATTTTAAAGGTTTAATAGCCAATTTGGTCCCTAAACTTTCATTTCAAAACTTAGTTCATCCTTTAACTTTAAAAAGCACCCAAACCATCCTTAAACTTTATTTTTTTAGAACCCAAATGGTCCTTCCGTCACAATAGTGCCCAGCTGTTAACCTGCCACGAATTAATACTTTTATTTCATAAAAATTACATGGAAAAAAAATGATGATTTGGTAATTTTAATAAATTTAATAAAAAAATATATACCATTAGAATATTAACCCTCCCTTATCTTCAACCCCCATCCCTCTCTACCATTTTTGTTCTTTTTCCTGTTCTCCAGCACCGAGATCAACACCAATCCAACGGCATCATTCTTTCCCTTTCTCATTTTTCTCTCTACTCTCCACCCACCCTCCTTTTTCCTCTTTCCTCATTTCCCTTTTCTTTCCCTTTTTTTTTTCTTTTTTTTTTTTCTTTTCTTTTCTAGTTGGGGTTTAGAACCCATGTTGGGATTGGGGATTCAACCCAGATCAAGTCTGGGATTGAGGATTCAACCCAGATCAACTCATTGTAAAGGGACAACAATAGCTAAAACCGGCTAAGATCTCAGTCGATAGAAGCACCGATTCGACTCCATTTTCACTGCATTAGCTCCACACAACTTCATACAAAAATGCAGCAAAAATATTGAGGAATTAAGCCAACCTAGGGCATACTACTAATAAGTTCATTTTCCTTTCTAGTTTCCACAGTTTCTTAGCAACCAAACACAAATTTCTATCGCAATCCTCAAGTAAAAAACAAAATCTACTTTTCTATCAAAGGATTTAAGTATATAAAGCTACAAAAAAATTGCTCACTGGTGCCAAGTTGAAAGACAGCGAGTCTTCAAGAAGGATTGTTACTATTGGAGGCACTGGTATCGTCGCCATTGATGAGAACAAAAGAGAAGTTCGGAGACGGCGACCGCATTGAAGGTCTGCAAACTTAAAGACAACATGTCAAAGAAGAAGATGATGCAACTGGGAGTGTTGTTCTTAGCATTTTCTCTTTTCTTCTTCACCCCAATCCCAATATAGGTTCTAAACCCCAACTAGAAAAGAAAAGAAAAAAGAAAAAAGCAAAAAAAAAAGGGGGAAAGAAAAGGGAAATGAGGAAGGAGGAAAGAGGAGGGTGGAGAGTAGAGAGAAAAATGAAAAAGGGAAATAATGATGCCGCTGGTATTGGTGTTGATGTTGGTGCTGGAGAACAGGTAAAATAACAAAAATGGCAGAGAGGGATGGGGGTTGAAGATAAGGGGAGGATTAATATTGTAATTGTATATTTTTTTTATTAAATTTATTAAAATTACCAAATCATCATTTTTTTTCCACGTAATTTTTTTGAAATAAAAAAATTAATTCGTGGCAAGTTAACGTGCTAGTTAGGCACTTTTGTGATGGAAAGACCATTTGGGTTCTAAAAAAATAAAGTTTAAGGATGGTTTGGGTGCTTTCTAAAGTTAAAGGATGAATTAAGTTTCGAAATGAAAGTTTAGGGATCAAATTAGGTATTAAACCAATTTTAAATTTCATTCGATCGTAAAAGGAACCAAGGTAGATTCTTTTCTTCAATTTACCACAACCAAGAAAAGTTAAATGCCTGAAAACACAGACAGAAATTAGGTGCAGTTGCCAGAAGTAATTTTGTTTACAAAGACATTCATGTGCTGTTTGGTAACATGAATTTAAAATAGTATATTTGAATTTGAAAGATTAAAATTTAATATTGTTGTTTATTTTTATCTAACTAAAAAATAATTAAATTAAAAAAAAATACATGTATTTCAACAAAGTAATTCCAAAAGTTAAAAACCGTGAATTTCAATTTCACCCTCAAATCTATTAATTTCAATTTTGAAATGAATTTCCTCTGCACCCTCTCCTCTCACCGACGGCGATGAGGCCTTCATCGTCCGCCCATTATTGACTCTGTCACTGCTCTCTCACCTTCTTGTCGTCGGCCACTCAAACCTCTCCTTGATAGCAGGTTTTTTGTGTGAGGACGATTTTGGTTTTGCTCGAATTTTAGGGTTTTGTTTGCTTTAGGCAGTTTTCCTGCAGATTCATCGAGTCTTGGCGGCGAGAAGGGGAACATTCACAGAGGGATGATGATAGCGGTGACCGGGTTTCTGCCCATGGAAGATTTCGATCTGATGGTGGAAGTGGTGGGGGTCGAGGAAAAAGAGTGGTGTATCTTAGCTTACCAATCAGTTTTGCTTTGGACAGCGAGGTGGCATGGCTATCTTGCCTTGTCAACGATGGGTGAGGAGGAAGGGGTTTGGTTGGCTTCGGGAGGAATTGGGAATTGTTTTGTCAATCGTGGCTAAGGGGTGGCCGACGGTGGCGACAGCTCTTTTCTGGCGGGGGCTTGCGTTTCTCGGTGGGATTGCTTGAATCGGATTTTTCGGTGATTGGATGGAATTGAGATTCTAAGGGGATTATACTTTCCAGAAAAATCAGGATTTGCTCCATTTGAATTTAGGTTAAATGCTTAATTTGGTCCCTTAACTTTAAGAAATGAACATTTTTGATCCCTCAACAATTTTTTGCAGTTTTTTGATCCCTCAACTATACAAAATGCACTCCGTTAGTCCTTCTGTTAATTTGAGCAGTTAACCCTGCTTAGGTGGCATTTTTTATATTTTTTTGATGACGTGGAGAGCAAAACTTAAAAAAGTGATGACATGTGCATGCTAGCTGGCAAAATCATGCCAGATACATCTAAATGGGTCCCACATCACCATCTTTGCCCATCGGTTACTGTTTTTCTTCCTTCCATGTTCGACAGAACCCAGATCTGGCAAAAAATTCCAATTGCCAAAAACTTCCTCACAACAAATTCCTCAAAAAATTCCCAAAAATCCCTCAATTGCCAAAAAATTCCTCACAACAACCTGCAATTGCCCAAAAATCCCTCAAAAACAACAACCTGCAATTGCCCAAAAATCCACAACAACCTGCAATTTGAATAATCTGGCAAACAATCATATAACAAAAACAAAAAACCAGTTGCCCAAAAATAACTAACAACCTGTAATTTGGATAATCTCACAAACAATCATATAAACAAAAAAAAAAAAAAGTGGAGCTGGGTTTTGGGTTTCGTCGAACCCAGCTACTGGGTTCGCTGGGTTCCAGCGAACCTAGCCTTGGGTTTGACGGAACCCAGCATTGGGTTCCAACGAACCCAGCAAAGGGTTCAATAACCCGAGGAAGAAGAGGAAGAAGAAGAAGAAAGAAGAGGAAGAAAAAAAGAGAAAAAGAGAAAAGAAAAAATGAACGAATTATT